ATGGTGGACCTCAGCAGTGAACTTGAAACAGAGCTCTGGGAATAGCAGTTTCGGTCAGATGTTGCTTCTCTTGTGGGGACAAATCAAACACATACCCATGTGGGTAGTTGGCTGGGGTCCTCGAGTGCTGGTGTGGTGTCATGGACAGCCAAGATTGACATTTCCTTCCCGTGACCGTGGTTGATGCTCTACCTCGGTAACCGTGTCCGTCACCCTCGTAACAGTCCTGCTCAGTGGGTGCTGTGATGTAGGTAGAAGAAACCAAGCTGAAGAATGCCCGGAATAGAGAATCATGGGAAGCAATTGAAAACAAAAAAGGGCCTTGCTATCCGGGAATGACCACTGTTGCCTTTTCCCTGAGAAGAGGCAGATATGCAGCTCCTCCCCAGAGAAACCGCCAGCAATTCATACTAGGCTAGAACCTCAATGGCCAGATTTGCTTGGACATACTGAATGTCAAATTCTGGAAGAACACGGCCAAGTCAGACAGCAAGGCTATCATCGGGTTCCTACTCGAAAGCCTGGCACATTTCCCCACATCACTTGCTCGGGCCAGGCCAACACACTCTGCTTCCGAGGCATGGGGCAGGCAATGGTCCTGCATCTAGTCTACAGGCCAAAATCCACAGTTTCTCCGATGGGGCTGGAGTCAAACACTATCTTCGCCGGAGGAGAGACAAGGAACCCTCTGGCACCCGGGACGCTGTGGTGGCAACAAGCACGAGTCAACTTCTCTTCCACTAGAGGCACGGCCCAGAGACAGTGAACTAGCGGGGGACCACCAAGAGCCCTCCGAAATCAGGCCTTCCACAGCCCACTTTCGCACAGCCGGCCTCGCGCTCTGGGTGGACCCAGGAGACAGAGCACTTGCCCACTTCCACCAAACACTGAGCATTCAAGGACAACCTACAACAGTCTACTGATGGGGGCCCCTGAAGTGGAGGGACATCCCCTCTGTGGTGCAGGCCCTCAGTTGAAGGCTCCGATCTGAGCATGCTGTAGCAACACAGAGTAAATCTCTTCAGCACCTCCGAGCCCATTCTCAGCACCAGGTCCCAGTTGCCCACCACTGAAGGAACGCAGAGCCTGCACTTCACATCCTGTCTGGGGAATGCCACTCGCTTCACCTGCGGGCTACATGGACTCGGTGACCCACACTAACTATGGGCAGAAGCAGAGGAGGGCCCACGTCCAAGAAGGACGAATACCTACTGCAGTCTAGCCTAACATGCTAGTCACGAATCCAGCATGGGATTAAAACATCACAGGACACACCAACACAGTGAAGAAGAAAAATCCCTATTGGCTAAGCAAGACACTAGTCAGGGAGATGACTGGATCCAGGAAATCCCAGGCTGGGCTTGTAAGGTTAGCGTGAGTCAAGTGTTA